GGCACAGTTACTGAAAGACAAGAGCTCAGAGGCCAGACATAAAGCAGTAATTCTCATTAAATAAGTTTGTTTTACGATTTAAAATCTAGATTCATTTAAAAATGAACCCATTGGTGGCCTGAACTGACCCGTGGGCTGCCAGTTGAATAGCCATGTACTAGACATTATTTAACCTTTTGTGATTTAAGTTTTTCTTGTAAGGACACGAGGACTCATTTTCACCTGGGGTTTTTCTCTTTACAGTTTTGTGCCGTTTCACCTCCACCTCCAAAAGGTCGCACAGTGCCGTCATGTCGATGAGAGCCAGCTGACGCACCTTCTTCATGTCAGCGTGGGAGAGATCCTGAATCCGAGTCACTCCTAGACGGCACTTGGGGCAGATCACCCGCTGAGGGGGTGAAGGTGGGGGGGAGGAGGACAAAACAAGATTAACCTTTTTAGATCATGTAAAACAGATGAGAACACAAAATAGTAAAACAAAATCTGATTCATGCAGAAACACCACCTCTCAAATAAAATGTACTAATCCTGAAACAGAAACTAAATCTGCTAGAGATTATGGCACAACTCTTTGTTTCTTATCTGTTAAACTCTTATCCAGTTGATTGTTAATTCTTGTAATGTGCGTGTATGTCGTCAGATTAAAATGATAAATACTGTAGAATCAAAACACTCGTTTTTAAACTGGGACTGCCCAGAAATTAAAATTAAACGGCTATTTCCTGATGAAATGGAAAATCCTGGTATGATTAGCAAAATAAAATATAAAAAGTAATATATTTATGTTACTGACTGGACCAGGTGGATTTTGAATTAAGTTTACAATATTATTATTAACACGCAAGCTATTTAACAAACAATCAAAAAAAGTACCGTATTTTTCCCAACTATAAAAGGCACAATTAAAATCCTTTAATTTTCTCAAAAATTAACAGTGAGCCTTATAATCTGGTGCGCCTTATGTATTAATTCTGGTGGCGTTTACCGACCTTGAACTGATTTTATGTGGTTATTGTGAATGTGTTCACAATAACCACATAAAGTTTAACTTTTCTGTCTTGTTTTGCTTAATGCACCTTATAATCTGGTGCACCTTATGAAAACAGACCTGTTCATTGATATTGCGCCTTATAATCCGGTGTGCTTTATAGTCCGAAAAATACGGTACAGAATAAAATGTAGGCTTCATTAAAAATTTTTTATTTTTTTTTTGTCAAACTCAAGCTGTTAAAATTCTTTTGAAAAATTCGGTTACATTTCATCCATTTTCCTGATTTAGAAAATATTGTGATTATGGATTTCAGGTCTCTCTTGTAAATGAGTCCCCGAGGCTCAGTGGGATTAACCTGTATAAATAAAGGTTGAATTAATTTATATTCTTAAAAGACTGATTGTAACAAGTCTTCAAGTGCTGAACTTAACTGTTTATGTTCATTGAACTATAGCATATGTTAACTTTGATCATTTTAAATTGCCTCCTGTCTATTTCCCTTTGACCAAAATAATAATAAAAAAACAAACAAACACTGAATACATCTAGTGTTTTCTTTTAATAAAAAACAACAACAACTTTGTTTAATTTCCAAACTGCTTACTTTTTGTACTCTAAATTCATTCAAATGTTTGAAAGAACATTAAAGAAAAAAAATTTCTAAGTTTCCTAGAACCAAAATGAAAAATGAGCAGAGGATGAGTAAAACCATTGGGTGCTTACAGGGAGCGAGCCGTCTTCTTTCCTGTGCTGGGTGTTGTTCTGTGGAAATTTGGCTTGTTTAATGAAGATGACGGCCTGCTCGCAGTAAGCGATGTCCGTTATCAGGAATTCCTCTTTAGGAGCACCTCGGTGATGCTCTAAAGTCATGGCTAAAAATAAACGCACACAAAAAACATTATTTCAGTGAAGGAAGTAGCAGCATACTGAGAGTTAACCAGAGATTGATCTAAACTAGATAAACTGAGTGATGACCCTGCGGGCTAATCAGTCCCCATCAGGAGGATGAACCTACTGCTCGGCTGACGTTTGTTCCTTTAAAAAGGTGATCAACATTTGAGGAATGCGCAGGAAGGTCAGAAATGGTGTGAAGTTTGGATTTTGTTGTGTTACTGAAACAAATTCAGCCACTGCAGTGATGCAGCTGTTTTTAAATAGATTTAAAATTGTATCCATCATTTTATGATGTCATTAGCGTGGAGTGCATCTTCACAGAGTCTGCTCATTTCATGTAGTTCTTACCTGAAAGTGGCATTTTGGCAACTGACGCCATGCTGTGTTGCGTGAGGTCTTCGTTATTCTCAGATTCTGGCAGCAGGCTCTATATATAGTTTAAAAAAAAAAAACAGTTTTGGGAATTTATAAACAAATTTATAATCTATAGTTATGAATATCAGTTCTTAATTACTTTCTAGACTTCTGGAAGTAAAAGGTGTGTTTGACTCAGTTTCTCTAAGCAAACAGGAATACAGGGTGCTTCCTTTGTTAAAGTCCTGATAACAATCAGAGGAGACATGTTTCTATTTCTCTCTGAAGCTGACTCAGGCCATGAGGACAAAGCCTGGCCTTTACATGCAGTTTGCTTTTATTGTTGTTATATGTCAGTGCTCATGTTCGGAACAAAAGACAGGAACAACAAAGTTCTTTCACTGACTATTCATTGAGGACAAGGCATATTTCATGTTTAATTTTTTATTCACTACATACTCAGACAGTATTGCTATGGGGTTAGCATGACTGCTTTCATCAGTAGACCTGAAGCTGAGAAATAAGTGTGCGTAAAGATTTCATGTGCTCTGTGCATGCTTAAAGTAGTTACATTAGACCTTTTTAGGAGGCGCATCTATGCAAGATAAGTATTTGTGTTAAGTTGAAAAAAACAAAAAAAAAAAACTCCTTTGGACATTTTGTTTTATGCGTCTGCTAAAGGTTTCTTCCTCATGAAGGAGTTTTTCCCTTTCCACTGTCACCTTCATGCTTGCTCAAGATGAGAGTTCTGTGATGGAGTTAAACTCAAAGCAGTCTGCTCCTCACATAAATAATGTTAAATTATTATTTTATATAGAAATGTTTCTGTTCAGTGCCCTGAGATGACTTGGTGCTATATAAATAAACCGAACTGAATTGTGTTTCATTTCCTCATGCTAACCTGAGCGATCGGGGAGCTGAAGATGTCCCGAACGTCACGAGGTGGCGGTTTGTTTTTTTTACGTCTAGACAGTGTGTAGGAATCGAGTCGACGCTGAACAGCTAGCGCCTGCGTCTTGGTGAGAGTGGACAGCAGCACCGCCTTGTCTACATCCTCGCTGTCTTCGCTGATAAGGGTTGACAAGCCAGCGTCAGCCAGCCACTGCTCCTCTTGTTCTCCCTCTGAAACACCAAGACAAAGCAGGCGCTGAAGACAAACATGATCGTGCACATGTGGAATTGTAAAACATATGGCTATCATTTTGGTCAAATTAATTACATACTCCATTACTTATAGAATATACCCATTCTAAAAACATATTGCTCCAACTTAAAATGCAGCTGTTGAGTCATTTGATAGTTATAAATCATTGTGACAAAGTACAGCTCAAACCAAATTTTATAGCAACACGAAAACCCAACTTTTTAAACAAGTTAAAGATAAAAAATGTGATAGTTATAAAAATGAGTTTAACAAGAATCACACATAAGGACAATTTGCAGACTGTAAAATAAAGAAGTTTCTATAATTAGCTCACTCAACAGTCACATGAGTGCAAATGATCATTAATAGTAATGATTTTAATAAGAACTAGTCTGATGTACATGATAGAGTTTATGACTCCAAAAGGTCTGTTGTAACTAGAAAGGGTCTAGTCTTGCATAAAAACATTACTTGAATAAAATTAAGACTATACCTTAAATTAAACAAGTAAAGAAATCTGTACTTTTTATACAGCAAGTCTACAAAGTAAAAATGAAAGTGTCCGTTTTAAATCACATGAAACAGCAAAATAAGATTTAACCATTAGTTTTTTTGTGCCTCCATCAAAGGCTGTTTGAAAGTGTTGTCATGGTGATATTGAGTGCTACTTTACCACATGAGAGAAACCTGAAATGTTGCCATGGCAAGTGAATCATTTCATGGAGAACATGGAGGATGTCTGTGGTAGCTGTGTCTGACACATTTTAGACAGCTCACACATACACCATCTTTTATCTGCACTCGTAATAAAAACAGAACCAGATCTGCAGTCATTACCTTCTGAGTGTCTGGAGTCTCTTCTGCAGCTGTCGAGATCTGTGTCACCGCTCCCCCGCTGGATGGTCTCAACCTCATGCCAGAATGATTCCACACACACTTTATCAGGGAACGTCTCCTGGTCCTGAGAAGGTGGGTCGTGTAGGCTGTGTGCTTGTTTAGCGGCTGCCTGGTCCCGTGTGCTGGCCCAGGGCTCCACGCTCATCTCGGTGGGGCTGGGATCTCTGGTGCAGACATACACACACGTAAAGAAATCACACGCATGCATGCAAACAAATGGACAGAGACACTAAGATGCATAAAAAAAAAACAGGCAGAATGGAAGAGTGAGGTGGTGTTGGAAGGATGAATCAGCCGGGAGAGCACCGATGGCTGGAGACAAAAGGAGTGGGATGAAGGACAGGCCGGTGTGAGGAGAGAGATGGCGACACAAAGGGGGGGTCTCTATTGTTCTTGTAAAATGTGGCCTTGAGAAAAATACCTAAAAAATCCACTAGATGTCCCTACAAGATTATAGAATCTTTTCTACAGGGTCACACCCTCATCCACCAAAACATTTCTGTTAATAAAAGCCTCAAATAAAATCTGAAATATGCTACATGAATTTTTTATTAAAAATGTGTAAATTTTCTAGATATTAAGGTTTTCAAGCAGTGATAAAGCAGCCTGCTTTCCTGTAGGTCTTAACAGAACAGTTTTCTGCAAACAATGGGACACAGTCAGCTGGCAAACCCACTCCACCCTGAAGAACTAAAATGTGACCCCCCCCCCCCCCCCCAACACAAGCACAGGAAGCAGTCTGCTGACTCGTGTCAGTGGTGTGCTGTTCAGTCACATTCTTTGATTCAGCAAATCTGATTTAAAGTAAAGAACGCCAGAAGGCTTATCGTGTCATCACAGATGCAGACCAAGTTTATAGTTTCCTGGAAGCATCCAAGACAAAAAAAAAAAAAAAAAAAAATATGCAGCATATTTTGTACCATGTTTCAATTTGTTTTCCAGACATGCTCACATTCACAAGTTTGCTGAAGCAAAACTGGTTTAAAATGAGTAAAACCAGTTTCAAGGTGGGGGACAGAGAGTCCGATAGGAAAGTGCTCAGAGAGTTTCACTACATTCAGTAAAAAAAAAAAAAAAAAGGTTTCGTGGTAAAGAAAACACGCACACACAAAAACTGACCAACACACACCGCTGCACTTTTAATTTATTCAAGGTTTTGTGAAGATGGATAAAATCACTTCAGTGCAGTGTTTGGTTTTTCATTCGTGTTCATTTTTTAGCCAAATTTAATTTCAATTCAATCTTCTGTAGAATCATGAATCTTTGTTGAAGTTTGGCATTTGCTGCAAAAATTCCCAACCAAATCTTAAACTTACATGAAATCAGCAGCTCAAGAGTCAAAGCTGGCTTAGTGAGACAATCACAGAGAATATGATTAACTTTAAGCAACAAGATTAAATAAATCTTGGCGTTTACAAAAAGGTGTGTCGCTGTTGCATGACGCTACACTGAAACAGTGTTGTAATCACAATATATTTTTATTTTTCATAAGCTAAATGTTATCAAGAAAGTCCAACTGCAATGAACAGAATGTGCAAAAATGTCCTGCTGCTGCTTTACGATGACCAAAACCAGCGTGGTTGCATTCTAACAGCCTATTAACGTCACAACAGACAATCCAGTCTGATCCAGTTCATGTCAATTAAAAATATAATGTTTTATGAACTGATTTGAGAAGAAGACTAAAGAACTGTGTAGCTGTTATGGATTGGAAATGTTAGTTAAGCTGGTGGGGTGGTTGTGGTGAGAACTTCAGTCCATGCAGTATTTGTTGGGTCTTAAAATGTACCCAAGTTTAAATTATTTAAATTTCACAAATGTTCATTAATTTTTTTTGTCTTTCACATTTGATCACCTTGTGACACTGGACGACTATGTGCAGTCCACACATTTGGTTAGCTTTTTGTTAAACCTTGCTGCAGTTTTCACAGAGTTAACTTTTTTGTTTTACCTTTGGTGATGCTGCTGGAGTTGCCCTGCCAGTCACTGAAAAGTGTCCCAGCTGCATCAAATCTGCTTAAATAGGAGTCATAGCCTAATTGGATTTCATGCGAAGAGGGGGAAAGTTTGGGTTTTGTAATTTTCTGATGTGACATTTCTTTAGTAGACTCGACATAATAAATGTTAATCTTTTCAGAAATTACTCTTCAAAACTATTAGTTAGTTTGTTCCCCCTCGTGTCAGAATGGCCTGATAAGCCACTTTTTAAGTTTCCCTCCGGTCTCAGTCAGTTAGTTGTTAGTGCTTGAGCTTCCTATGCTGGTCCCTGATGTAAAGTTGCTTATAAGCGGACTTCTTTATTGGCTGCCAAACCATGCTTATTAAGGAAAATTTGTGATTTTTGCAAATGCGTTTTTTTTTTTTCAAATTCTATGTGTTTCTATGACTGGTCTGTGTGATCCATGACATATAGGGTTTAACAGAGTCTTTTTAAAGTTTAAGTGATAAAATACAACAATATACTAACAATAAATAATGTAAAAATAACTTTAATCAAACAATGATTTCCAGCTATCACATCTGTTTGCTGAAGTAGTTCTGTTCTCTGATCTGTTCGCAAAACATTTATTTCTGATATTTATCATCAGCCTAAATGATTGCTCTATAACTCATAGTTATTTTAAGATCAGATTCAATCAGATTAACCAGTAGGCATGACAGAGGTTTAACTGTCTATCATACCTGTAAGCAGCATTTTTTCCATCTATGGCAGTAACCAGGAGAAACGCAGGTTCAGTATGACTCGCAAAAATAGCAGCAGCATTCCTTACTGCAAGCAAATGTAAGGCATGCTAGCTTGTGAAATAGCTTCCCAAACAAATGTTCAGTTTGCCCAACTACTCACGTGAAGTCCTCTTTGTGGACTTCACGTCTGTCTTCAATACCATGATCCCCCAAACCCTGATGGACAAACTACTCACACTAGGACTAAGCCCCTCCATTTGCAACTGGGTCCTAGACTTCTTAACAAACAGACCGCAGTCTGTGAAGATCCACAACTTCTCCTCCACCATAACCCTCAGCATTGGCTCCCCTCAGGGATGTGTGCTGAGCCCTCTCCTGTTCACTCTGCTCACATATGATTGTGCACCTACCCATCCAGGCTGTCACATTGCAAATTTTGCAGATGATACAGTGGTGGTGGGATGCATCGCAAAGAATGATGAGTCCAGCTACAGGCAGGAGGTGGAACACCTGGAGAGCTGGTGCAAAGAGAATAACCTTCACATCAATGTGAAGAAGACAACGGAGATGGTCGTGGACTTCAAACAGAAACCCCCCCCCGAACATAGGAGGATCTGCAGTGGTAGTGGTCTCCAGCTACAAGTACTTGGTGTGCACCTGAATGACAACCTCAGCTGGAGCAACACCACCACCAGCCTGATCAAGAAAGCTCATCAGAGACTCTACTTCCTCAGACGGCTGAGACGAGCTGGTCTGGGAAGCTCAGTCCTCACCTCCTTCTCCAGGTGTTCAGTGGAGAGCATCCTGTGCTTGAGCATCAATGTGTGGCATGGAGGCTGCACAGCTGCAGAAAAAAAGCTCTGCAGAGAGTGGTGAAGGCTGTGCAGAAGTCTGTTGGAGTCAGCCTCCCCACCATCACATACATTTACGCCTCTAGATGCAGGAAGAGGGCCACCTGCATCATGAAGGACCACACTCACCCAGCAGACACATTTTTTGCCCCACTTCCATTAGGCAGGAGGTTGAGGAGCATGAAGTATAGAACCACTAGACTGAGGAACAGCTTCTACCCTGAGGCTGTTAGACTCATGAATCTCTAACCAGGATAATCACTGTGAAAAATCACATCATGTTGCTGCTGATCTATTACATGTTGCTGCTGATCTGTTTCATGTTGCTGTGTTCATTCGTGCTCATCTGCTCACACAGACTCATGTTTGTGCTGCTGTCCGGCATATTGTGTTTATACTATTCGTGCTTAGTGTATTTTTAGTTAACGTTTTTCTTAGTTCATATCTTAGATCTTATTACCGTTTTTCTTTTACATTTTATACTTTTGTTGGATGTAACTGGGACCCTGTTTACAAAATTTTGTTCCACCACATGTACCATATGCGGTGTGTATGACAAATAAAAAACCTCGAATCTTTGAATCATCTATTGTTTATTTTAAATTCTTGCCCACTTTTCTGTGCATGGTTATAGGAAGCTAGTTGTCATTGGGCAAAAGGAGGTTACAAATTATGGTTTCCCAACTATAAATTAACCATTTTAGCTCTAGAAGTGTTACTTTGCAATGCTTTGTTCAAATTAACAAGTTTTGATGAATATTACAGCATATATTAAGTAATATAAAACAATATTAGCCTACAGTAGAAATGTCAGCATGTTCTTCCTGTGAATATTGGGTTTTTCCTTCCATAAACCAAAAACATGCATGCTAATTGATAACTAATTTATAACTAAATTGTCTCAAGGTTTGAGCGAGTGTGAGCGGTTGTATGTCTCGGTTATTTCTCTGTGGGCTTGTGATAGTTAGCATCCTGTCCAGTGTGTACCCCACTTCTTGCCCAGTGACTTTTGGAGATAGGCAGCAGCTCCCCATGACCCAGAAAGAAAAAAGCAGGTAAAGAAAATGGATGGAGGATTTATTTTGATTGTTTCTGCAGGGAAATTAGAATAATTTACTTGGCATTTAGAAAGAATGGGGATGCTTATTAGAAACAGTAGCTTTAAGATAAATAATAAAGGAGTGTCAAAAACAATGGATTACATCTCAACCAGCTGATAAAATGACATCCGGTTTAAAAAAGCTGTTCCAAGACAACACATGGAACAACGTGGCGTTTAAAAAGTTATGAAGTCATCAATATAAAAATTATACAATAAAAAGACACCATGAGCAACTGCTGCTTTGCTAGTTTAGCAATTAACATACAATGGAAATGTCTGATTTGAGAGCGCCACCATTTAAGATTTATTAAGAAAAACAGTCACCTTCAACCATCAGCGTGGTTATATTTAGTTATCCATTATTATTAAAGATTTTCTTTTGTTCATCACACAACGTGCCATCTGTCATCTATGCAGCTTTACTCTAAAAACAGGCAAGTCTGATTTCAATTTTTTTTTGTGATCTCAAAATAAGTCTTTCTAATCGCACATACCTGGATTTTTTCCTGTAGAGTGATGGCTTTAAACGTTTGCCCCGAAATGCATTTGGATAGCGCCTAAAATGAGTCAATGCGGGGTGTTGAAACTGCATCTTGGCTTCAGTTCTGCTCACCACCACCTCCTCTCTGCCTACCATGTCCAGAGTGCCAAAGGAATCCGGGATTTACAGTCCTGCTCAAAAACTAGCTTTATCCAGTACTGGTGGCTTGACACCATGTGAATGTGGTCTAACTCTGTCAGTTGTTCAAGTTCCTCTGAGCAGTTGTAGGAAGTGATGCAAATGTTTAGCGTGGCATCAAGCTGTTTGGGATACTTGCGAGTTGAGCTGGAACTGGAATGCAGGAGGGAGGGACAAGTATCTTACTATGAAAACATTCACACCTGTCCCCTCCCTCAAACTTTGAGGTGGCACGCCTTTCCCTATGTACATACCAGCCATCTTGTTCCTCTCTGGTCTAAACAAGACTCTGCTACCTGCCAATCAAAATTCTTCCATTCAAAATACTGTCTGAAGTACAACAACAACAGTTTTTGTTTTAGATTAAAAGACGTAGTCACGGCTGACTAGCCTAACATATACATTTAGTAAAACTTTATTTGTCTGTAAATGTGAGAGATACAATGACTTATATTGAAACATCACATACTTTTTGAATGACCACTAATGATGTGATGGTTTAAATCAAGCAATGCCTTATATGTAAAAAAAAGGTCTTTGTTGCAACATTTAAGCTCACAGTAACATCTTTGTTCGACCTCATACCTGAGTCTGGAAAAAAAAGAGAAAGAAAGAAAACATGACAAATGACTCCCAGGTGTATGTGGAAAAGATGTATGAGAAAAGGTAGACAGCACAAAGAGATAAATATGAAAAAGGAGGAAATGTTTCAAGTTTCACAAGTGTCACAGGTTTGACAACATCAACTGTAAGCGAGCTGGTAACCCCCCAACAACCTTAACAAACCACCCACTTTCCCTTTTTTGGTCGTTTTTTTCTCTCAAGCCACAATCATAACAGCAGATGACGTAAACTCACAAAACAAGACAATTACAGGTGTAGGTTAAAAAGTGAGGAAAATATTCTGGGGTTTTCAACACATTACATTATGCCTACAGTGTAGCACTTCCACAACATGCATAAATGCACAGCATCAAAAGTCTCACAAGACTTTTTTTTTGCTCTGCAATTGTGAAAGAAATCATAGAGTTTTGACTGAAACGTGAACTGCATTGTACACAGATGAGCTCTGTAGTTTGTAAGACAACCTTGACTGAAATTTGAATTTGTATAAAAATGATCTGAAACACTTGTGGCCGACTGAACAACTAAAGTCATAGCATCAAACTAAAACTCAAGCTAAAATACCAAAGTGATATGGAATTACTCATGTGGACATTATACAAAGATTAATGAAAATGTCCTTAAATTCATTCTCCTGGCTTCAGTGTTTTGCCTTATAAAAATGAGAAATTTACTATTCTTTTAACTTGCATATATATATATATATATATATATATATATATATATATATACAGACATATATATATATATGCAAACACGTCCGAAAAACAAAGCGTATAGTTCAAGCTAATTTTAAAAAAGGACAGCTGAAAATGTCAGGCAGTTTGGAATTGTTCCTCGTTGAATGGGCCTTGCAGTAACACAAAGAATCAACAGGAAGCCATGTGCTCGGAGAAGAATGGACACATTTGAAGCCGTCTGCGTTCAAACTTGAAACTGCGTGAAATAACACAAGGTAGCCCCAACAAATAAGTACATTCAGGGATTACTGCACAGTAATCAATCTGAAAACACAGTTTACTGAACACCTTTAATCTGTAATCGTCTAAAGAAAGCCTCTTATTATTCCCACAATGCAACAATTAGCTCAAATGATATTGAAAACATTTTTCCTCTTAGCCCCACATGCACAGTGGAATACAGAAAATCAAGAGTTATAGGTTTGGAAGAATCTATAAAGAACCCAAATAATTTAAAATAATGTTCCAAACAGTATCAAGGAAATATTTACCTGCTTCACTAACCTCATTAAAAATATATCATCAGTCAACCAAAATTGCATCTAAACCTCATTAAATCCAGTATCTGCTAATCTTTACATGAGTCTTAAACCCCATAAGAGCCAGCAGCAAAAGCCTAATCCTACCTGGCTTTGGCCCGCCTGATGGCCTTGCCCGAGAGCAGCAGCAGCAGAGCTGCCGAGCCACTTTTTCCCCATGGCATCCTGCAGTTTTCCCCCCAGATTGCTGAGAACTGAAGGAAACAGCAGCTGCCTGCCCCTGGCAAGCTGTTTCCTTGTAATCTCTTCAACATGCAAACACATTACAGGGGCAGTCTGCCTGCGCTGGCAGGAACGTCACTACGTCGCATCCTGGAGAAGGAAAGGAGGTCTACAAAAGGTGATGGAGAGAGAGAGAAGCTGAGTAGCTGAGATGGTGACTGAGGCGGTTACAGACGGAGGACAAATATTGCATGAATGGTTGGTATTACCACAGCTGACGAAGAGGATTAAAGCATGAAGCAGAAAACCCAACAACTGCAGGCCTGTTAGGGCTGCTGACTCAATGACTTGACTACTTATGTTGCAACTTTATCCTTCACCAAGATGTGTGAAACTTCTTTTTATAGCCGCAGTATGCTTACTCGTGCATTTATTTAACAAAACACAAAAATAGAAACTTTTTCTAACATGATCTCCGATCTTGTTATGATTTTAATTAATACCTGAAAGTGTTAATGTAACTTATTTAAAGATGAATATAACTATCAAATGTAAAAAAAAAGATTTTGTTCAGCAGAATTCCAATACAAATTTTGAAGGCAGGAATAAAACATGAGGTCCTTTAACTAAATTTTGAAACAAACTCAGAAAGAGGAAGGACAGAAAAAGAAACTTAATGTTAAATGAAGAATGTGCAAAATGAAGAAAGGACACAGTCTGTGTATTTTGTTGCATTTTAAGGACAAAACCAAAACTGAACGTTTTAAATATAAGGTTCTGATATGAATGACTTGTACCCTTTGAATCTATAAAACAAAGCCGTAAAACTTTATATTCAGTCACTAAAATGTAACTCATAGTTGAGTTTAAAAATATCAAAGTCTTGACTTGACTATTTTAACTTTTTATACTTTATCTAAACAAGCAGTTACTATGGTAACATTTATTTACTACATGTTTTACTTGTGATATACATGTTTTTTATTTAATATGAATTTTTTAACTGAATTTTTCATTAATAATAAACAAGTTTTTGTATAAAATGTGCTATTTAAAGAACATTTAAATTTGTATTATGGCCCGACAGGCTTATACTGACGTATTAATTAGTCTCAAAGTAAAATTGTATTAACTTATTTACAGTGAACTTTGTTTTTTTCAAGGAGTAGACTTTAACGTTAGGTTTGTACAGGTTTTATGTTTGAAAACTTTATTTAAAACTTCAAAGTTCTAAACGTAAAAAAGAGAACCCAGTTAAACAAATGAGACAAAAATATTATAGTTGGTCATTTATTTATTGAGGAAGACGATCCAATATTACATATTTGTGAGTGGCAAAAGTATGTAGTAAGTTGGGTAGCTGTTTTCTGTTTAGTTTTTATATCATTTCTTCTATTTACTTTTCATTTTATATGCTTTTTACATGATTGTCTGTACCTCATCAGTGTTCTTTGTTTAAAATGGGTCTCTCCTGTAAACGAGTGCTCGAGGCTCAATGAGACTAACTTGTATAAATAAAGGTTGAATTGAACGTGAACCTCTAGGATTAGCAGTTAATTTGAAGGCAAAATTAGAGTTGAGTGTTTTCAATCAATGAGAAGATGATCAGGTGTGAGTGGGCACCCTGTTTGATTTAAAGAACAGGGCTCTATCAGAGTCTGCTCTTCACAACAAGTCTGTGGAAGTGGATCATGGCACGAACAAAGGAGATGTCTGAGGACCTAAAAAAAAAGAGTTGTTGATGCTCATCAGACTGGAGAAGATTATAAAACCTTCTCTAAAGAGTTTGGACTCCACCAATCCACAGTCAGACAGATTGTGTACAAATGGAAGAAATTCAAGACCGTTACCCTCCCCAAGAGTGGTGGACCAACAAAGAGCACTCTGAGCAAGGCGTGTAATAGTCAGCGAGGTCACAAAGCACCCCAGGGTAACTTCTAAGCAACTGAAGGCCTCTCTCACATTGACTGATGTTTATGTTCATGAGTCCACAATCAGGAGAACACTGAACAACAATGGTGTGCATGGCAGGGTTGCAAGGAGAAAGACAGTGCTCTCCAAAAAGAACATTGCTGCTCATCTGCAGTTTGCTAAAGATCACGTGGACGAGCCAGAAGACTGTTGGAAGAATGTTTTGTGGATGGATGGGACCAAAATCAAACTTTTTGGTTTAAATTCAAAGCGTTGTTTGGAGAAAGGAAAACTCTGCATTCATGCATAAGAACCTTATCCCATATGTGAAACATGGTGGTTGTAGTATCATGATTTGGGCCTGTTTTGCTGCATCTGGGCCAGGATGGCTTGCTATCATTGATGGAACAATGAATTCTGAATTATATCAGAAAATTGTAAAGGAAATTGTCAGGACATGTGTCCATGAACTGAATCTCAAGAGAAATGCACTAAATACTGAAAGTAAAGGTTCAATTACTGTTGCCACTCATAAATACTGTATGTAATATTGGATCATAGATCAATGAACAATGATCATTGGATCATTTTCCTTAATAAATAAATGACCAAGTATAATATTTTTGTCACATTTGTTTAACAGGGTCTACTTTTAGGACTTGTGTGAAAATCTGATTACGTTTTGGTCATATTTAAGCAGAAATATAGAAACTTCTAAATGGTTCACAAACTTTCAAGCACCACTGTATAGCTTCCCTGTAGGTGTTCTGTGTGTTCTGGCAATCAAGTTGTACTGATCATCTCCTTCACCAAGGACTTCTAAATGAACAGTTTTCAGAGGCAGACTCCAAACGGAGTACTATTCTACTATCTAGGTAATTTATTTTAACCCTGTGGCTCTTGTTGGACATTATCACACTGTCAGATCCATTTAGTCGAGCTTGGGGAAAAGAATTAGGTTTAATAAAACTACCTTAATTCATGCACCGGTAAATAATAGTTTATTTTATCATCTTCTTTAACATGCCTCTGCATTCATTTATTTCCCTTAAATCTTCTCTGACTTTCATTCCTGGCAAGGCAAGCTCTTTCTGCA